GTCAAAATAACACGCGAACTCTGAAAGTTCAGAAGTCAATCATCTCAGCGAACCTCTCAAAAGGTCATGGTTTATGATTTGCGACTGGCGGATTTCGATCCGCTTGGTGTGTTGCTGTATTTCAAGGTTCGTTATTTGTGACCGTAATTACCATTGACGACAGCAAAAAATGCAATTGTGCAGTGCAGGGTTCGCGTGTTTAATATTGAAAAGCGCAGAAATCCACGAGCCCCAAAATTAAATATTGCGGACGTCATTGCATAGTCTGCCACGTAGGCCTATAGTCATGATATCTACATCATATCCCGCACGTACATTTTACAGTACATGACGTATCAAATACCACTGAAATGGATGGTGTAAACTAGGGGGAACATTTGCAATAGTAGCTAATACTCCAAGAGACTGCGGAGATGACCTTTGCATTTTGATTGAAATTTGTTTTGCAAAGTAGGCCAATTGATCGAAATACTTTAAACGTAGACTGCTCTTTAAATTTTAAGAGATCAAATGAGTACTCGGCCAAGCTCTATAGAAACAAAAGGAAACGAGACAACTGAAATCTGTAAAACTGATCAAAGGGTTAATCCCGAGAGGGGGGCAATCCCTTGTTTTACATAGACGGGTGTGTGGCGCGCCCGGGGGGTACTCCTGGGAATTCTCGGCGGAGTTGTGTCATGCACCAGGTTCTCCAGGTCCTTAACCCAATTCACACCAAAAAATGTCATTTTTCACACCCGTCTTCAGACCTGACCTCCAAAATCCATACCCGTTTTCATACCTGGCCTCTAAGATATTATGTCATCATTACTTACACTGGAACACCAACAGAAAAAGATTTCTTAAAATCTATTTCGAATTCGCACATTTCTGTACGGGGGTTTACGAGCAACTCGCTCTCTGAGCGTAGAGGTATCAGGTATCTGAGTTTACATCTTGGTGTTTTTTAATCTTTACAGCAGCTCATATGTCTTGTTTACAGCATCACTTAATGAATTCTGCTCGTCAACTAACTGAAACTAACCTCAACTACTCACCAACTTGTGCTAAACACTGGCAACTTATATAAGTACAACTTAGCTACGTTCAGGCTTGCTGACCAGAGTTACAAACGCTTTTCCGAATGACTTAAAAGAATTTCCGGTTGATAACCAAAGTGGAATAAACAAACCCATAAGAAAACCAATGAAAGTGTGCCAGCCAAACCCACAAGCTCAACCTTAAACCAAAACAGGAACTCTGATGTAGGTAACAATCAAGGTCAGCGATGGTGCCAAAACGCGCCCTCTTCAAGAATTGACACTCAAATTTAATAAATGACAATCATGTTGAAAAACTATTTAAAAGGTAATAGAATTTGAAAACCTGTCGACACTGACAAATACGGATTAACCTTGATCTATAAACTGATCATAACAAGACTCTAGTCACGAGTGAAACGTCAAGCACAAACACGAAAGAAACTTAAAATAACCTACAGAATACTTCAAAACATTTCTTTTTCTTTTTTGCTCATTTGCAATTGAGACGATAAATGCGTTCATACACTCCCGTAGTTCCCTCGAAAACCACACCCGATTACAGACCAAAATGGGCAAAGTCTATACTCGTTTTAGGACCAAAATGGCACAAAAATCCTGCCGTTTGGGCCGGCACATACCAAAATGGCTTATATAAAGGAGTGCTCTCCCTCCTTACCCCGCAGGCTGCCGTGCCGCTAAACAGAGTATGGCATCTTAAACAAGGTTCACTAACAGACTGTGTTTTTAGACTGGAAGCCTTTAGAAGAGCGCTAAGGTTAGCGATTTAAACGACCTACCGTACATGCGTGCCCAGGCTGGTAGACGACGCTAGTCTAAAAAAATACTTAACTTTGACTGCGAAACAAAATCGCAGGGTCATGGAATAAGGTCTATTTCCTTAAACTGTGTAGGGAAGTAAACAATTTTTGTCACAGGGTCAGGGCTTAAAACCTTGACGGCACTAATCTCCTCCCAAACTCTCCCCC